TTAAGTTTATCTCATCGCACATAAGAATGTACAGATGAATGTTCGAGTATCTATAAAATTCATAAGATAGAAACATACAAATACATATTATTGTAAATACATACATACAACATAGTTTTGTTTGTTGTTGATGTTTTTGTACAAATAGCCAATTTATAACAAAGAAAAAAGCTTAGAACAAACACACGAGAACAGCTACATACATATTTGAACATTTGTATGTATAAACGTTCATATGTATGTACATATGTACGTACAGCGCTGCTCATAACAATTTACTAATATTGTCATATGATTTTTTATGATATGGTTTTGATAAACCATAAATGTTGAAATACAGATTGAAAATATTGCCATCATGAATATTTGATTAAAAAAGCCAACTAGCAAATAAAGTAAAAAGTATTAGATATTTGTTAGATTGTTATGATATTTAATAATACTTATTTACATATAAATGTCAATGTTCATATATTGCATTTTTTGTACGTACCTATTGGCGATTACATATATGTACACACATGTTTGAAGTCAAGAAAACATATTGCATTAGATAACTTAAATAAAATTTTGTTAGTTTAAGAAGAAATTTCTTCATATTACATATTAATAATTTATTTTAGTTAAATTAACTAATACTGCAGTATTGACCTGACTAAGCTAAAGCGTACTAAGCTAAAAATATTATTTATATAAGCTTTGTTCCTTTACTTGTCAAGTTTGCAGGTTTTTACCAGAAATTGTAAAAGAGAACAAATTTGAGCAATTAAAATTATTTTCTCTTTGCCAGAACGTGCAGGTTTTAGCCAGAAATTTTTTTCCTGGCAAATAGAAAAAAAAATTGTCAAATAAATTATTTGTTTAAAAAAATACATTGAAAACAAAAAATGTTTGATATTTTTAATTTATTTTCATAAATAAGTATGTGTGATTGTAGTTTTTCAATTTTATTTTAATGTCAATAGAAATTTATATGAATAAACTTCAATACAAATTTAATGAAAGAGAAATTTTGTTTTTTCTGTTCCCGTACTTTTTATAAGTACGAAGAGAAAATTCATTAATTCTCTTTAGCCAGAAAAGTTCTGGAACAAAGCTATAGTTTATTTTAAAAATTTAAATATTTTACAATAAAAAACTTTATTTTTGTTGGCACTTTTTCTAGCATTTTTTTCTTTATTTTTAGCATTTTCTAGCATTTTTTTCAAAACAATCTAGCACTTTTTCGCAATTAGGTTTTGGCAACACTGTTCACAACAGAGGATTACGGGTAAAATCATGGAGAATTTCCGATTTGGATGAAATTTTGCCATTATGGAACTATAAAGCCATTTAAGGAAATTGTATAAGCTTTCTTTTAAGCAAAAAAGCCTATTAAAAAAATTAAATTTTTTTTAGAAACAATGAAGAAATAGCTATCTGAACTCCTTTGGACCAATAGGTGAAAAGTTACACTCATTTGAATAAAACCCTGTATGACCAAAATGTACAACTTTGACACCCTCTAAGTCCGGCAGTTCTGGACCGATAGAGCTGAAAATTTGTGTCTTACCTACTATTCAACACTAACATTGGTGCAGATTTCGTCATAATCGATTTTTTGAGTTGGGTCACTTGACATGAAATTGCTCTTATACATAATTGTATGAATGGATTCAAACGAATCTAAGGCTTGCGGAAAAACAGTGAAACTTAGTAACTATGTCTTTATCATTGCCAATTTTTCATTGAAATTAGATGTAAATATTTTGGGAACGCTGTTGTCAAGATAGTACATTATTTACCATAGTTTGGATTGATTGGGAAGTGGTATTATATAACGCATGATTGTAGACATATATGTAGTTCCTATACACCCCAGAAATCTTAAGAATATAAATGTTGTAGCAGTCTATTAGATATGATATCAAGAATTTTGCTATTTAATATAAGCGAAATCGGTACATATGTATATAGGCAATAACAAATGTTCAAAATAAATCAAATTTACAGCAAAGCATATCTATTACAAGAATATGCATCTCGACATGCGGGTTGTTATAATTTACGCGTATTCCTTATATATCATGACCAGCTATTGAAAATTTATCTTGCATGAGACGCACATTCTATGTATTAAATATTCTTTGTATAAACTAAATAAATAAATAAATTAATAAAGGTTTCCATATAAACATTCAAAAGCCTGGCAAATTGTGCAATCTGTGCATTTTCGATTTTACACTGATACATTTGATCGACTAATTGAACTTATAATTTTTTTAAACTAAACTTTCCCTGCTAAATAATACAGATATATGTTCAGAAACTCAGTTTCCTGGTCGAAATTCCTAAGAATTTTTCCAATCAGTGTTAGTCAGGAATGTTATTTCCGGAATAACATCACTTCGAAGATACTTGGATCTAACTTCGACAAATGCCTGACAGTGGCAAAGAAAGTGCTCCAGAGTTTCACTTTCTCTCCACACGCTCTACATTCGTCTGAACCTGCACTTCCAATTTTGTATAGATGTGTTCGTAATCCTGTGTGTCCACTCAGAATACGTATAATGGTAACCTCACATTTGCTAATTTTGAGGAGATTTCTCGTCTTGCTCTCATCAGGGTCACCCCATAGGTGGTTCTACCCAACGTTTCACTATTCCAAGAAGCCTTATGGGATTATCTCACCCATAATTTTAGTTCAGCTTTTGTTGCGTCGAATGGTTTCGCGTTTGTCAGGTTAACAGCCTCGAGCTCCCTTCCCTTTAAAGCAATTACATTAGCCCTTTCGTTGCCGACTACTCCCGAATTGCCTGATACCCATATGATGTAAACCTTACCTCTGGGAGAATATTCAGTTAAAGCTTTCTTACAATCCAATACGGTCTTAGATTTAATTCTATCACCTGATATCGCCATAATTGCCTTTTGGCTGTCGGTAAATATATTAAGCCCTGTGAGCGCCATATTTATTCTAATCAAATTTACACATTCCGTTATTGCTCGGACTTCTGCCTAAAAGCTTGTGTTATGATTAGTTAAACGGTGGTATATTTCTGTTTCTGGGTCTTCAATATAGCCATCCGTGTAGCAACGGATTCCTACTTTTACATTACTTTATTGTAATTGAAGTTATACCAATTATAATTACTTGTAATGAAAGCATCACAAATTACAATTATTTGTAATTGATAATGCTTCAATTACAATTGATTACAACATTGAAAGTAAACATTATTGTAATTCAGATGTTTTCCATTACAATAATAAGTAATTGTATTAGGTAACGATTCCATTACAATTACAAGCATTTGTAATTGATAATTGGTCAATTAAACATTGCAAGTAATTAATTGTATACAACATAGACGAATTTTGTACTGTTACTTGTTAGTCAATCAAAATTTATTAGCGTTCTTAGTAATATTCCCTTTTTTATATGGTGGGTATATTGATTTTGTCATTCCGTTTGTAACACATCGAAATATTGGTCATAGACCCACAAAAGTCCGTTTGTCTATCTGTTGAAAGCACCATAGAGTCCGAACGGAACGAGCTAGAGGATTGAAATTTTCCACAAATATTCTCTATAGGTAAGGTTTTTTTGGTATTGAAAAAGGAAAATATTGGTCCACATTTTCGTATAGCCCCCATACAAGTGGACCCCCGAAAAACAGCTTTAACGGACATATCTATTTAAAAAGTACGTGTATATCGATGAAATTCGACATAAAGAAGCTTCATATGATCCAAAATCTCCCTACCAAATTTTATGAGCATCGGTCCACAATTGAATAAAAATATGATTATAGTGATGAAATTCAACACACATAAGTTTGATATGATCCAAAAATCTCCCTACCAAATTTTATGAGGATCGGTCCATAATTGACCCTAACCCCACTTAAAAGTCCCCTTCTGAAAATGACTTTAACGCTCATTACTGTCTTAAAAATACGAGTATAGTGATGAAATTCGACACACATAAGTTTCAATGAAGCCAAAACCTCACTATCAAAATTTATGTGGATCGGTCCATAATTTACCCTACCCCCATATAAGGTCCCCTTCAATAAATTACTTAAACGTTCATTACTGGCTTAAAAATACAAGTAAAGCGATGAAATTAGACCCACGCAGGTTCCTTGCGAATCAAAATCTCTTACCCGAATTTTATGTGGATCGATTCATAATTGACCTTACCCCCCTATAAGATCCCCTTCATAATAATAATTTAATGCTCATTACTGCGAGTATAGAGATGAAATTCGACAAAGTAAGTATCTTACGAGCCAGAACTTCTCTGCTGACTTTTATGAGAATCATATAAGCTTCCCTTCAGAAGATGACTTTAAAGCTCATTACTGGTTTAAAAATACCAGAAAAGTGATGAAATTCGACACACATATGTTTTATACGAGTTAAAATCTCTCTACCAAATGTATTGAGGATAGGTCCATAAGGAAATTACTTTAGAAACATTTATAGGAACGTAAATCTTCCTACCGAATTTCATGCGGAAAATGTCGGGAAGTGATTGGCCTAAAAAAAATTATGAAAAACGGTCAATAATTAACCCTAGCTCTTATATAAGGTCCTCTTCAGTTAATTTGATGTTTATAGAGGAGCATTCCTGTTAAGGCATACGGTTTGATGGTGGGTATATGTTATTATATCTGTTGCACTGTCCTGTAAATCTGAAGAAAATCCTTAAATTTTAATAAACATATGTGTGCAAAAAATAATCTTTACAAATAAGTATTAAAGCAAATGCATATTCCTATGTAAATATCCAAGGACATTTCAATGTGTGAATTTGTTGTGTGAGTGTAATAATTTATCGTAGGTAGGTAATGGATTTTTTTCCTGCAAAAGATTTTATTTGTTCATAGTCATTCTCATTCGTAGGAGTAAAGATTTGGATTAAATTATGATATACATACATAGTTACATGTTAAAATAACCGGAGAATGATAAATGTACAATTAAGGAAGGAAATACACCTGTTTATTATTTTTATGTTGTCTTTGATATTTATTGTGTGTGTATTCAATTAATTAATCATTTAGTAGGTCTTTAATTGTCTTAAGTGATATAAATTAAAGTGTATTAAATAAAATAAACAACAACCAACATTAAACTAAATTAAATGGGTAACAAACTTTCAGCATTTATTTCCTCATCATCTGAGTCCTGGCTGAGATCATGTTTAACCATACCAGTACGGGGACGTTCAGCTGGTGGTCCCAGAGGATCTGTGTGATGAGCTTATAGATACAAATTATTATATTATTATTACCATTTAATATTTATTTGAAAATTAATACCTGAAAAAGCCGTATCGGTAGAACGAACATAATGATCGCCATTAAAATTAGCTGTAATGGCATTTGATACCACACTATCGGCAGAAGATTCTGGCAATCTGCCCGTAAAACTGTTTTCATTTTGATTACGATAAGCTTGAAATAAAATATAAGTTGTGAATATATATATTCAGTTAGATTTAACATGAGTTAGTTGGTACCTCTTAGACGGCTACTACCCATTCTTCCCGATGCTGCAGATGACAATCGTTGTTGCTGATAGCGTTGTTCATTGTCTCGCTCCATCTGAGCTTTGTGTAGTCTAGCATATTCCAAGGAATATTTCTCATTCAATTCGGACATGCCTAAACTTTTTGTAACCTGCACTAAAGCTCTAACGCAATTCAAATTATCTGGAAACATGTTGTAGATTTTTTCAAACATGCCCAAATATTGCTTGGGTGGTAAATATGAATTGCGGAAACAGCTGGCAATACGCAACATTAGATTTGGATCCTGGGGATCGGCCAAAACAGCTCTTTCGTAATAGTACAAAGCTTTTTCTATAGCCTGCAGTTTGATGTAATATGAACCGATAGAACTGGCAATATTAATATCACTGGGATTTATACGATAAGCCTCATTATAGTATTGATTAGCTTCTTGGTGATCATTTAATTGTTCATAAATCGAACCAACTTTTTCAAACAGATGCGAATCAATTTCTCCAGCTGATATACCCAGTACTTGCAAATATGATTGTAGTGCAGTTGAGGTATTTGCCAATTTAAAGTTACCTCCACCAATGGTGGTAGTATTTATTTTCTCCTGCAATTTGGCCAATTGATAGTATACATGACTGTGCTGCACAGAGTGCGGTACCATCAATTGGGTCTTTAAATTCTCGAACTGTTCCTCGGCTAATGCGTAATCGTTTTCCGCCATAGCAACTAAACCCAAATTATAATTAGCTTCAAAATTATCTGGTTGTATTTGTAAAGCTCTCTCCAATTTATTACGTGCAGCTGTGTAATTTTGCTTTTGATAATCGATAATGCTGGCATTAACCAACGCCATCGCATTGGTTTGTAAAGCTCCAATTTCATTCATTTGTTGAACACAGTGACTGGCCATTTCTAAATTACCCAGCTGTTGTTTGGAAATATAGTTTTAGTAAAGAGGAAAGATAACGTAAAATTTAAAAATTTTCTAAAAATAAGTTCAAGATAGCCTAAAATCTTAGTGCAAAGTATTGTGAAATTCAGATCGCATTCTACCCTAACGCTCGCGTGACGGTTATATTAACTATAGATGTGAACGAATGGACAGATCATTTTAGTAATTTTTTAATAACAACAAATAATATTTTCGAATTCAGTAGTAATTGGGGCGAATCCAATCGAATCCCGAAAATGGGAATGTTGGTAATCCCTGAGATAAGAAAGAAACACCGGTTTCGAAGTTTGAAAATTTTAATTTTATGTCGCCAGATCATTTATTTGGTCTTACGTCACGAATGCACCCTTTGTAGACGATAGTGAGGACAGTCGTCACTTCACAGTCCCCTAGTAATCTAGAGAGTATACACTTAAAACAAGCTTAAGCAAAAATGTTCATTGCCATGCATTGACGCCTTTGACTAGCTATCGACTGTCTCTTTGTATAACTCTAAGTGCTAGGTTAAATATATAGTTCGGGACTGTCCATACGAACAGCTGGGTTATGTTTTGCCATTATAAGCGTAGAAACAAATACATATCAAAATAATTAATATACAATACTAGAAAAAGCATTTCCATTTTATAATTCTGCCTGACACTATCCGCTGTAGCATAGTGTAGTGATATGGTTAATTTATTTTATTTGTAATTTGTTGGTTAACCACTATAATTGTGTGTTAATACTAGTGTTGCCAGTCTTACTGTTTTGTGCTCAGATATTGAGTTTCCAATTATTTGTATTTTAGTTAATTTTTTCCCTTGCGTAAGCAAGGCTATATGTGACATGGAATATGACGTGTATTTTGAATTCGATCTAATGAATTTCTTTTAAAAATGTTATTAACTCTGATCAATGCACTAAGGCCCCGATTAACAAAGACTTGTGATACATAAGAAAAAACTACTTTCCTTGAATTTGCACTATTTTGTAATTAATGTTGGCGTGTCATAATGTCCAGTGACGTTTTGACACACTAAATGTATCATAGGGTCCATGTTTATAATTAAAGAAATGGACACCCAAATTCCTAAAGGATTTGTTTCTAAATTTGGTGTATATTGCATATTTCGGTCAGGCGCGGGGGTTTTAAATTCTAGGGTATTTCGAATACCGGCTTCGCTAAATTAAGCCTTATTTGATAAATGGTATCTTTGAATTCCATGGAATTTATGACATTTTACTCATGGATATTGTGACACTTTTGAAATTGTCATAACGTCCATGGACTCTATGATTCAATTTAGTGAGTCATAACTTCCATGGACATTTGACACTTTTAATACAGAAGTGTATTGGACAATTTATTTAGAATTTAGGAATGGGACACTCTAATTCCGAAAAGAATTGCTCCTAAATTTGGTGTATATTGTGTATTTAGGATTCCTTTAAAAAAGTGTCTGGATATTCGGCCGGGCGCGGGGGTTTTAAATTTTAGGATATTTCGAATACCGGCTTCGCTAAATCAATCCTTTTTTGATAAATGGACTCTTTGAAATCCATGGACTTTATGTCATTTTGCTCATGGAAATTGTCATTTGAAATTGTCATAGCATCCATGGACCCTATGACTCAATTTAGTGTGTCATAACGTCCATGGAAATTATGTCACTGGACATTATGACACGTTACTTAATTATTTGGTACGCAGACATTAAGTTAGTTATATATTATGTAGTAACAAAATAAATATATATAATTATCGATTAAAATTCAAATTGTTCTTGAAAGGATAATATTCTCCAGATTATAAGATTTTTTTGAAAGTTTATTTACTAAATATTATACTTTTCAATCAATTTACCGTACGGATTCCCGTTACCCGATTGAACTAAAATTTAGTTTTAGATACTAATGTAAACAACAATACTTATCCAAACAAAAGGGATATTTTTTGGGCACATCTAATATACATACAAATGTATAAGATATGTGAGACTTACATTAATATAAATAAATGTTAAATTGGTCAAAGCACTGGCTGTCATGGATCCTTCAGATTTGCGGTCATACATTTGCAGTGTTTCAATTGCCTGATTGACATCGTTCTGACGTAAATATACTAGAGCTTTATTCAATTCCAATTCGCTAGCAAGCCATGACAGAGTGGACGTTTTAATGACCTCGATGCACCAGTTGTATCCTGAAAATAAATTGATATTGCTTATATGTACATATGTATGTATGTGTAAATAGGAGAGGTAGGCGGATATTTAAATACAAATTATATGAAAAATTATACAATTATTATTATTATTTTTCGAAACTTCAACCAGTACTTTTGCCAATGAATATTCTTCATTCTAAGGCAGATAGATTTTTGTTTGGGATAACTAAACCAATTATTTACATGTAAGAATGTAAAGTCGGAAATGGCCGACAATATGATACCCTACACCAGTGAGTGGTAAGTAAAAAAAACAAACAAACATCAGCAAAAACGCATAATACCCTCCCCACTATAGTGGTGTAGGGCGTAAATAATATATATGTAGTATATTAGTAAAGAAAATAATTTAAGGTGAGAAAAAAGTCGAAAATTATAATTCCGTTTATATTTAAAGAATGTGAACTATTCTATATTTTTGGTCCTTTTTATTACTGTTTTAAAGAAACTAAATTTGATTTGTAGATTTCTAAAATGTATTTGTGAAATATTTTCCAAAATGGTATTTATTTTTGGTATGTTTTTAAAACAAGTCGATGTCCTTTTCTTAATTATGTTCCTTTCGACAATTTAAATAGTAACATGCTGCACACATATACATATGTACATATATTCAGATATTTCCGCCAGCCTCATTGCATACACTTACCATCATTATAGTTCTCCTCAATTATGGGTGAAATTAAATCAACAATCATTGTAATGGTGCGCTTTTCACTATTTTTACGTTGTTTGAAATAAATTGCCAGCTCGTCGGACTTTAACGACTGCAAAATGTAGCTATTACGGTCTACAGGCCGTGTACCAGTCTTGGGACGTTGTTCATTTGGTGCGCTCAAAGCACCACCATTACCGACTCCATCAACACCGGCAACGGCAACATTTTCAGATCCAATATTTTTATTTTCAGTAAGATCAAAACTATTACCAGCGGCACCACCAACACTTCCAATGCTACTTCCATTGCCACTATTGATTACTTCAATTTCAGCTGTGGGTGAGTGCTCGAATTCATCCTGATGCTGTAACTGACGTTGAGGATGTGTTTGTGTGTGATGCTGTTGTTCACTAACCACATGTTGTTGCAGCTTAAGTATACTGTTTTCGTTGTCCAAATTCTTTTCAGCCTCCATCGGCAGAACATCACATAAATTTCTAAAAGTGCTCTTTATTTTATCCACATCACCCATGGCATAATAGCACAATATCAAGTGGATTCCGCTGCGTATATCCGCACGTTCCGACATGATAAATTCAAAGCTGGCTGCCGCATCAGCATACTGGCCCATGCGCACAAAAAGTATGCCAATGTTTTGGGTGATTTTAAGGCGTAATTGTTTTAAATTGTTGGGCACCGAATCCAATGCCATGCGGTACATTTTTATCGCCTTTGGATAAATGCCCATGCGATAGTAAATGTTTCCCATGTTCAGTTTTAGCTGATTCACATGTGGAAACATTTTGTTCTTTGTCATGATGCTGTATGTGTTGAGGGCCTCAATGTGCATGTCATTCCGTTCATATTGTTCGGCCAGATTAAAGAAAACCTGCAAAGAGAATGAGTTTGTTCGAGTGTTGAGTGAGCCAGTTTCTTTTTCATTTATTTTTATGTTATTTTTGTCTATATGTATTCCTTGGGTTCTTCTTTTTTTGCCCCATTGCAATTGTATGAAAATGAAAGTAGAATAACAAAAGCAAAACTATTGCTAAGCAGAAAAGTTTTTCCTTATCAAGCATGGGAATATTTAATGAACGAATAAATCTTAAAGGACATATTAAAGTTTCTTGGGTTTAATATTACATATTTGATAAAGACCAAGTTTTAAATAACTAAAAGATCAAAAATCAAATAATCAATTTTAATATTATTTGAAACGTCGGAAATATTCGAAAAATTATGTGGCAACATGTTTATTGAATCTGAAATTGAATTGAATCGAAATTTATATACATATAACTTAGTAAATTAATGTTTCTGAAGCTCTTTAGATTCTTGAAAAATTTAATTATAAATACCCATATGTTCCTATATTAGACTTTTTTCGGTAAATAACCTTTTCAGATATAGTCACAGCTATAGAAAGGAAGTATATGGCTGAACATACCGGTCTGTTTAAGTAATGAAATTGACTGCAATAATATAGTAATTTATGAGGTGGTATTGAATACTACCTTATCCAAGCATTGATTGGAACTTTCGAATCAGAATACTTATGAGGTTGGACTCTTCGTCTTCATCAGATTGTCTAATGTCTGCACTGAGGCTGAAATATAAGCATCTCTAGTTGTCGACCATTAAAATGCCAACTAACTTGCCTCTTTCAAGGCTCTCACAGTTATAGTTATAAGGTCGAATGTATTCCCAATGCCATTCATTGCTATCTTATTTTAGACGATACTCTGTCGAATTGATATACATAGGTTCCACAACATGGGGGCATTCGGTAATGTGAATTTGGATGAAAATCATTCGGAATAGGATATTCATGTTCGACAGGCGAATGGGTGACAGAAAATGAGAACTCAGGTTTTATACTATTACCACTTGTATAATAACCAAAAAGTATTCCCGGAAAAGGACATTGATATAGTGCCAGAATTCTCTCCCGCGATGCATTTTACCTTCATGACTTCGGACTTTCTTTGGAATTATTTCACCTGTAGTCGAACCAAAGGACCCATATTGTCGGGAACCGATGGTCTGCAGGCAGAGGTTCAGACTTTGGAGAGGTCCCATTGGGTTGAACACAAAACTTGGGAAGAGAATGTTGGTTTAAAGACTTATGTACGGGAATTCTATATTTCTCTATGAGTTCGTTACTTTTGACAAAATAGACTACAGATATCCCTCAAAATGACAGTGGGGCTAAACGTTGGTAATGAGTTCGTGTTAAAAGTATTAGATTACAAATTTAATTAAGGGGTATACGGGCCCTCTATAAATGTATCGGATAAATGGGAAGTATGATGTTTTTTGCATCTCGAAAGTTACGCAACGGTCAGAGCTTGTATACGGTAATCGTACCACAGTACAAAAGGCCGTGAGCAGGTTTTCTCTATCATCTTGATGTATGTATGTATGTATGTATGTATGTATGTAGGTATGTATTATGTATGTATGTATGTATGTATGTATGTATGATGTATGTATGTATGTATGTATGTATGTATGTATGTATGTATGTATGTATGTATGTATGTATGTATGTATGTATGTATGTATGTATGTATGTATGTATGTATGTATGTATGTATGTATGTATGTATGTATGTATGTATGTATGTATGTATGTATGTATGTATGTATGTATGTATGTATGTATGTATGTATGTATGTATGTATGTATGTATGTATGTATGTATGTATGTATGTATGTATGTATGTATGTATGTATGTATGTATGTATGTATGTATGTATGTATGTATGTATGTATGTATGTATGTATGTATGTATGTATGTATGTATGTATGTATGTATGTATGTATGTATGTATGTATGTATGTATGTATGTATGTATGTATGTATGTATGTATGTATGTATGTATGTATGTATGTATGTATGTATGTATGTATGTATGTATGTATGTATGTATGTATGTATGTGTGTATGTATGTATGTATGTATGTATGTATGTATGTATGTATGTATGTATGTATGTATGTATGTATGTATGTATGTATGTATGTATGTATGTATGTATGTATGTATATGAAACATGGTGCAAGCCTCTTTCATGATTAGGTCTGCCTTACGGATTTACCGCTGACGAATCTAATCAAATTTGCTAGAAGTACCGAATAGTTTTCATTGACAACATAGAAATAACAAGACGCACAAATAAGAGAGTAATCATTTTAATGAGTATATCACAAATGGTTCCCATACTTATAACCTAACCTATAAATATTTTTTAATTAGACTACAATTAAAGTAGTAACTAAAAACTCCCACGTGCGCTTAAAAGGAGTAAAATAGTTAAATTGAAAATGGTATCAGTTGCTTAACAAGCACACTTCACATTTCTTCATTTAGGTAGTTTTTATTCGGTCAAAAAAGGACAGACGAACAGACAGATGAAAAATGAAATTGCTAAAAGTTTTCACTTAAGAAAAGTTTTAATGAAAGTGAAATAGAATAAAATTAAATAAATTTACGTGTAAAATATAAGAAAATCCCTGAATAAAAGATACAATTGTAATCAAACGAAATCGTTGAACCTTTTCTTTTTTTCTTCTACTGTTTATTTATTTCTTTAAAAAAGGTGTTGATAATTGCAGGTTGCATCGTTAGTAACAATTGTATGTGCAGTCACTAGAGATTGGCTTTGCTTTTCTTGAAGAAATTTTTAATTAATTATTTAACTTATAAATGTTTAAACGATTTCTATTCAAAAGAAAAGTAAATTAATTTCAAAACTTTATAATTTAATTACTTTTCAATAAGTTTGTTAGAATTATGTACTTTATTTAATAATTTTTTAATCAAATCTCATTAGAAAATTATTATTTAAATATTTTGGTATTTAAATTTGTTACGTCTAACCGATTGAATCAAATACCTAATGTGGTAAAAATTTTATTAATTAATTTTTAAATTAAAGGAATTAGTAAACAATTTTAGGAATTAATACATGAAACCACTCTAATGTATTAATTTTAAAACATATTTGATATGGTTAGGATGCAATTAAGTACTTACAGCATACGTCAAATCGAAATTATGAAATATGTTTTCACCATGCTGATCGCGAAAGCGATGTAAAGTGCGGTCTAAAGAAAATGCCTCTTTCGCTTTATTAAGCGCCTCAGCCAATGTTGCTTTATGATCGGTCGATGAACTCTCCTCACGACTACCATCTGTAGAAGATATTCCCAGTTTTTGTGAATTGGTAGCTTTAGCCGCTATGACAATTGATGATTCCAATAATTTTACAATTTTTGCTTCAAGATTTTTATACTTTATCTGAGGACTAAATCAACAAGAAAAAAAAAAAAAAAATAGCAACAAGTTTTAAGTATTGAAACATATCTAGTACTAACCTCACTTCTTTGGTGGCAACAATGGCCGCATTAGCTGAGGATAATGTTTGTTGTCTGGCCTTTTCCACAAAAAATTGATCAAAACGCTGGCCAGCGGAACCGCTATTATTGGCAGCGTAACCCACGGCACGTACAGCTGTTGAGGGACGTGCTAGTGCTGTTTTATCGCCTCCCAAGCGGCTACTCACTAAATTTCCACGCTAATAAAATTTGTTTAAACACTTTAATTTTGGAAAATTCATTTAAACACATATAAAGTTTCCATGTGAGGGGTAGTGTGTGTATATCCCAACAATATTATGGAGAGCCTATGTATCCCTTTTATACGCAATTTTAATTAATAACTCAGTTTATATATTTTTTTCGACCATTTGACAATTTTGCATGCACTATTTGTAATACTGTGAGAAAAGCATTCGAGTCTAGTGTATTTGGGTAATCTGGAGAGGATACTCTTTAATCATTATTGTTAAAAGCTTACTTCTTCCTAGGCTGTTCGGGACAATTGCTCCGAACTGCTTGGATGTGCTGGCAAAACTGTTAAATATTCAGTGTTTAAAATTGAAATGTATGTATTGGACAAAGGAGTTGTATAAAATCCCTGAGCAACTTTACGTGGAACTTTTTGGGTTTTTTCGTCCTTTTACAAATTTAAACATTTTCACATATACTTATACACACACACACAAACCCATACAAAGGAACTTCGACGCACAAATGGAATTTATTGTGTGTTGATAACCTACCGAAAAAAGTAATGATGTCGGTGGACGACCGGCAGCTGTTGGTGGTGGGGGTGGTGCCTGATTACGATTTGAAACGGCTGTGGATGAGGAATTTCCAGAGGCATCTTTCGAAATTTCCGCACTCATTGCAACAGCATTAATTAAATTTTAGTTGAAATAAAGCTTAAGTTACAAACTACGTGCCACCAAAAACTAAAAACAAATACCGAAAAATAACAAACGAACGAATGAAAACAATGAGTGGGAGGGAACTGGTTCAACTTTTGCAACAAATGCCAGTGTTTGTAGAAATGTATAAACAAATGTTTGGAATGTTGAATAAAATGAGATAGAACTTTTCGAAAATTTTATTCGACTGTTTCTGTTGTTGTTGTTATGTTGGCCCTTTGTTGCAATGGAAACGCTGTGGCATATTACTTTCTCTACATGTTTGTTCACTTCAATTTTCGTACTTTATTTTTTCATACAGTGAGTCCGTATTCTCTCATGTATTTAATTCTCCATTACAATTTATTTACAACAATACAACTAAAATTTTAAATTATGTAAATTATTTGTTTTTTCATAATTTTTATAAGAATTAATGCCAGCGGCAGAATTTGTTTGGGCTCTTTTCCATTTAACCAACAATAACTCCAACAGGAACAACCACATACAATTACAGCAACGATTTAACACCACGACCACCACTTGATTTCCACTCTGGGATACAACTGTTTTATGTTCAAAATAATTTATTTTATTTTTTCCTATTGTTTTTATTATTTTTGTTATTATAACCGGTATTGTAGTGTTAGTAGTTGTTAAGGGTAGAACTTCTGTTTGTTTTGGTTTTATGTTGTGGCTGTTCCATGAACTCGGTTGCCATGGGAATGGGTCTAATGCAAAGGTAACGTCAAAAATTTTATTCCTTTTATGTTATTGTTGTTTTTATTAGATAAATATAATTTACATGTCTGTGAAATTTGTAAACAATTGTAATAGAATAAAAATATAGAAACTGAACAATTGTTGCTATTATTGTTTTTATTCCCCAAACTGAAACAATTTTATACTACAAAAACATTTGAAATATTTATGTACGGGTAAAAGTGAACAATAAAAAAATTATAAACTATACATAATTGGCTAATTCAAATTTGGAAACTTTAGCGCTGTGTTTAGTTTACTTTAATTGTTATTTAACAAATTATTAAAAATTACTACAACAAATTGTTTAGAAATTGTTGCTGAATAATAATTGATATACTTACATAATAATTCATCTTCATACCAATCCTGAAATTCCGATCGTGGAAAACGTATGATTTTGGGATTGGTAATATTTTGTCATTATAAAATTCCACTAAACACAAACTATTCTGAGACGATAGGTATTTTGTGCGTTACAAACATCAGCATAAACGTATAATACCCTCCCCACTATAGTAGCGTGAGGTATAATAATCATAATCCCTTCATCAGAACTATATTTTGTTATTAGTATTTTAATAATTGTAAGTTAGATCATTAGTTCGAAAGGATAATGTAGATGTATTACATCAAATTCTAAGAAGTATGTACATAAATCAGTGCCTTTAATTGGAATCAAACCCATGATATATTTGTTAGTTAGGTTAGGTTGATAGGAAAATGTATGTACATACATAAAATCCTAGGAATTACATAGGGCTCCTTTTCATGAAAAATGTTTGTTGGTAAAAACAAAAACCTTATATAGTATTCAATGTATTATCGTCCGATGTTCCTAAACTTAGTTTTCTGAACGTACTTCCTAAGAATTTTGCAATCAGTGTTCACTCCCAAGATATTTCGATCTAATTTTGGCGAAAGCCTGGCAATAGCATATAAAGTACTCCAGAGTTTATCTGACCTTTCTACATTCGTCTGAATCCGCATGTCCAATTTTGTATAGCTGTGTCCGTAATCCTGTGTGTTTGCTTAGAATACGTACCATCATTCTAACCTCAGGCTTGTTCATTCTGAGGAGGCTTATCGTCCTGCTCTCGTCAGGGTCACCTCATAGGATCTTTGTGGTTCTACCCAACGTTTCATTATTCCAAGATGTCTTAATAGTTTCTCTCATCCATATTTTTAATTCTGCCCTTGTTTCGTCAAAATGTTTTGCGTTCATCAGGTTAACTACCTCGAGCTCCCTTCCATTTAAAGCTATTACATTCGATCGCTTCGTTGCCGACTACTCCCGAGTGGCCTCGTACCATATGATGTAAACCTCAACTCAGGGAAAATATTCGGTTAGAGTTTTTTTACAATTCAATATGGTCTTCGATTTAACTTTATCATCTGATTGCCTCAGTAAAGGTGCTAAGCCCTGTCGACGTCATATTTATTTTTCTTATTGCTCATACTTCTGCCTGGAAGCTTCTGTTGTGATTAGGTAAAAGGTGGTATATTTCTGTTTCTGGGTCTTCAATGCAGAACCTCAGGCCGACTTTGTCCACCAATTTAGAGACATCCATGTAGCAACGTATTCCTACTGGTATTTACTCTAATGCTCCACTTGACCAAGACATTTTATCTGGGATCAGCGTTCCAAAGTTTCCGACACATTCTGTTTCCGGTATGCGATCAGGGACATCCGATGATTGTGTATAGCCTCCAATGTCTCCAGTATACATTTATGACGTTATTGGCCGCTATTGGCCAGTTCGCCTAAATATTTTTCAATGGGTGGAATATCTAGCAACGTTTTCAGAGCCTTGGTTGACGCAGTTCTCATGACACCACTTATAGCAATATGAACACTGAACTCCCTGTATTAGTTTGATATTACACTTTTTGTCCAAAGAAGTCCATCTTTTATAAAACCAATGTATCATAGTAGGACTAAGACCCCATTTCATGTCTATTGTTCTCTTACAAAGCGCCCAACACCGATGTTGAATTGTTGATCAATAAAAAACCGGTCAAAGGATTGAATATGTATATCAGTGTGACGTTATTAAAGTCGCCTTTGATGTCAATGCATAACGCTAGTGTATACAGTTTTCTATCGAAGGATTCATCTATGTAGTGAGTGGACAACTTTGTTTAATGCGGTTTCCAACGATCGTCCCTTTTCATAAGCATACTGCTTATATTTGAGTTGTTTGTCTGGTAAACTGCTTTTAATCATACTATCGACAATCCGTTCCAAGGTTTTATGTAGGATTGACGTAAAGCTTATCGGTCGATAGGACTTAACTGTTGCATAGCTAGGTTTTTCTGGTTTGGGTTCAAATATTACCCTTGGATCCTGCTATTTAATAGGGATATTTTAAGCTTGCAGTCAAAATCTTTGACAGATGTACGGAAACTAGTCCCGCCTTTGGCTTTGGTGGTGGCCGAAGTATTTTGAATCTTTTATTCTGATGGTCTTAAAAGAGTGCTGTTCCAAAAGTCTTCTATCCTGACATTCATTTTAAGTTCTTCTGAATATATAGTTATTTATATCTAATACTTTCCCTCTGATTGCCCGATTACCTAAGTTCAATGTGAATAAGTCTTTAGTATTTAAAACATCAATTACGGCTTGTCTCCTTCGATTGGTACTTGTGCTACCCCAAGCTACATGGTGGGAGTTGCCATCACAACCAATTACAATATCTTATTTTTTCTTTGTGCCTCTTCAACCAGTTTCATCAGATCCGACGTTGGTGGTAGTTTCGGAGAATAAAAGAGCAGGTAAACAGATGCAAAGTAAATGTTTCCAGGACCTTGCTTCAGCGACGTTGCATCCCATGTTGATATACTAGTTGAGAGGAGAAAACATAAGTTCTTGTAAACATAATATACATGTTCTCGGGCGAGACCCTATATCAGCGTAGAAAACTTGGAACTTTACGTGACTTAATCCAGAATCGTCTTTTTAGTCGTCTCGCTCCAATGGAGGTTTATTTGGATAATCTCAATCAAGGTCAATCAATCAACTGTCTTCTGGCGATTGAGTGATTTCCTCCTCAACGTTACCAGTACTGGCTAATTATGCTTTGTGCACAGACTTAGGTATTTTAGTATTCTTGTCGGGGCCTGTTGTGAGAGCCCTTTTAATCAGCGCATTCCCAATTTTGTAAAGGGTAGCTGCACTTTTTTATAGCGAGATAGTGGTAATCTCTTCGATTTTAGGATTTGACTCCTCAACGTTACGACTAGTGGTTAATAATGCTGTGGGCATTTAGGTATATTAGTGTCCTTGTCGGGGCTTGTTGTAACAGCCCTTCCAATCGGCACCTTCCCAATTTTAAATATGAAAGCTTTAGGGGTTAAGCCAAAAACAAAGTAGGGCATCCTTTGTTCTTGGCAAGACTAGCCATGGAGTTCTGGTCGATACCTATTACAAGTAAAGTTTTCTCAGATTCTCTTATCCTGTAAAAGATATCCCATTTTTCCTTGGCCAGTTCAGCATTTTGGCTTCCAGGATTTTACAATATACGCTCATTAGGCAATTTTTTGATCCATCCTCTTATGTTTACATTGGACTTTAAAAAGATCCCTTTTCTTTACCAGTCCAAGCTTAGCACCGTCCAAGGGAGGGGGATACTTTCCACCAAGTTCTTCAGGGAACCATCACATTAAAAAGATCCCTTTTCTTTACCAGTCCAAGCTTAGCACCGTCCAAGGGAGGGGGATACTTTCCACCAAGTTCTTCAGGGAACCATCACATTGGTGAGATGCCAACCTCATCAGCATCACGCTCATGCTGAACTCGCAATTCACACTTTCTATTGGTAGGTAGATTTATTTCCTTACTCTGCTGGTCTTTTAAAATGTTGCCTGTCATCGTATACTGGATAGTAGAGATCGTCCCGGTGTCAACATTGGTGTAAAATGGCGACTCTTTTCCTTTTCCACCATTTTGCTTCTTCTTCCTCGTTTTTAGGGGCATCTTTTGAGATACCCTCTTAGGTTTGTTCTCAGTTGTCAACTCCTCGGGAGACCTGATCCTCTTTGTCTCATATATTGAGAGCGAATCCTATATTAACATTGGAGTGTGATGAGATTTACTCACTATGATTTCCTGAACTCCAGAAAGCCTTTTTTAGTAATAGGTAGTTTTGTGAAATATCATGGAAATGAAAAAAGAATAAACTATGTATATGAATATAAACTATAGCTTGAAAAGCTATATCTGAAAAAATAGTATTCAACCGAAATGTAGAAAATTGTATTATTTTTAGAAATTATAATAGCGCAAGAAAACATAATTATAATCAGCAAGAATTTCGCATAAAAACTTTTTGTAATCTTTGTAAATCATTACTAGAGTCCTTCTATGTAATGCAGACGATATGAAATAGTCCATGAAAAGTAAGTTGTTGAGCAAGTACAAGCCCATTTAAGAGTATCTAACGCCATAGTTAACACAATTTAATTGAAAAGTGGACTCATATCACTTTCAAAATCAACGATTCGTTCTAAATTGTTTTGTTATGGTATGGATGTATGTATAAATGTTTATTTAAAGATGTAGCAAGTTGTTATTTTTTCTTTTTGTCTTAAATTCTTAAAACAAATATTTTCATTTATGGTTTTATGTTTCCCTTTAAATTTATTTTATTTAACATTCAACGATGAATAATAAATTAGTACTTTACACCGCAGTGGTTTTATTCAAACTTTATTTATAAACATAAATATTTAAATAACAGATGCAGCGCAGCAGCATCAACACCGGCAGCAGTATCTAAATATTCAGTAATAAAAATAACAACAATA